CTCCCAGAGGTCCCTGGGCCTTTGTCTTAAGGTCCTGTGATATTTAAGCCTTGAAGGAGAGAAAACCTTAATGGCCTCTTCCTAGAAAAACTGCTTGTATCTGCCAACTCTGTGTGTCCTGTGGCTTCCCTCCTGCTCATCACAGGGATGAGATTGGTTTCCGTGGGAATTCTGAATCAGCCCAGGGAGTCAGGGAGGAAGGAACAGAGAGAGCCCCAGGGAAGGGACAGGCCGGGTCAGAGCCGGGGGTGGCAAGCTGCCCTCCTTCGTGGGAGGAGCCGCCGCTGTGACCCAGATGGTGGCCTCTTTTCCCCCTGCAGCTTGTGAGTGCGACCCGCAGGGCTCGTTAAGCTCCGTCTGCGACCCCAACGGAGGCCAGTGCCAGTGCCGGCCGAACGTGGTTGGGAGAACCTGCGACAGATGTGCTCCCGGAACCTTCGGCTTTGGCCCCAGTGGCTGCAAACGTAGGTTAACCGGAACCGTAAGGTACTCGTTCGGATGACCTGGCAAACCCTGGCATGGTTGCCCCGCTTCGGAGGCACTGCTTCCCTCTGGGAGTCGGTCCCGGGTGCCGTGGGCCTCCTGCGGGAGCCGACACGAGGGGTGTGTTCGCACGGGATGAGTTTCTCAGGGCGGCTCCCCGCTTGCGTGTCTCTCCAGCGTGCGACTGCCACCTGCAGGGGTCTGTCAGTGCTTTCTGCGACCCCGTCACGGGCCAGTGCCACTGCTTCCAGGGGGTGTACGCGCGGCAGTGTGACCGGTGCCTGCCCGGGTACTGGGGCTTCCCGAGCTGCCAGCCCTGCCACTGCAACGGCCACGCCGACGACTGCGACTCGGTGACGGGGGAGTGCCTGAGCTGCCAGGACTACACCGCGGGTCATCACTGCGAGAGGTACGTGGACGCGCCTCTGGAAAGTAAAGAGAACAGAGATCATGTTTGGCCGAGTCAACATCTTCCAACCACAGAAGGAATCTCACCAGGCTCCAGATGGCTCGGTCGTTTCTGACCACGTCAGGATTTTCTAGGAACTCAGTCATTCGCCGAGTGCCTCTCTGGTTTACACCTTCTGTGTGCCAGGCAGGCATTGTTCCGGGCTGGGACGTGGCCGGCGGGCATCTGCCCTCTTGGAAGGGCGTCCTGGAGGCCGCCGTAGATCTGTGCGGAAATCACCTCTGTCCCAGCAGATTCTGGCGGAGGATGAGAATTGTGAAATGTTGATGCCTAACTTCAGGCAAACGGGAAACCCAATCCAAATGGGATGAGTCATTTTAAATAGCTTTGTGTTGTGTGTGT